TCAAGATTCATTTTCAATGTACCTGCTGTAAGGAAGCTGCACACAAAACTGTACACGAAATAAAATACAAACCGTCCTAATAAAATAAAAAAGTATTTTTATTTCTAGGATACAGGAGCGCCAGACTCTGCAGTGACTTACTAGATTGTGGTATCTGAAGTGTTGAAGCCGTAGAACCCCCAGAGGAAGACACTGTTTAGAAGGATGAGAGCGCCATACTAGTTTGGAAGTTAATTGCACATAAAAAACCAACCTGTTTTTGGGGTTCAACAAGCCCCATTTATCAGAGGAAGCCACTAGAGGTTTAGAAGGATGAGAATGCCATACCTGTCTGGAAGTTAACCTCTTGCCGACCGTGCATAGCCGAATGACGGCTTCACCGCGGCCGGCCAGTTCTGGGTGGACGTCATATGACAACCTCCCAGAACGCGCTCTCCTGCGCCCAGGGGGCGCGCACCCAGCGATCTCCGTGATCGCTGTGTCCTACGGACACAGCTGATCACGTGATGTGGTAAAAGGCCAATCACAGCGGCCTTTTACCACGTGATCAGCGGTGTCCAATGACACGCTGATCAGAGGGAAATGCAAGTGCCGGTTCTCGGCTGCACTTTCCTCACGCTGTCAGATCGTGAGGAAAGTACTGCCGAGAACCGGCAGTTGTCAGAGCGGGGATCGGCACTGATCATCAGGGCACTGATGATCAGTGCCCTGATGATCGGTGCCCAGCAGTGACACCCGCAAGTTCTGCCCAGCAGTGCGCCCACTAGCTCCGCCCACCCATGCCCAGCAGTGCCCCCCCACCTGTGCCCAGCAGTGCCCCCACCTGTGCCCAGCAGTGCACCCACCTGTGCCACTCTGCAGTGCCACCTACCTGTGCCCAGAAGTGCCACCTACATGTGCCCAGCAGTGCCACCCACCTGTGCCCACCCACCTGTGCCCACCAGTGCCACCCACCTGTGCCCACCAGTGCCACCCACCTGTGCCCACCCACCAGTGCTGCCCACCAGTGCCACCCACCAGTGCAGCCCAGCAGTGCTGCCAGTCAGTGCCACCAGTCAGTGCCCAGGGGTTGTGCCAGTCAGTGCCGCCAGTCAGTGCCCAGGGGTTGTGCCAGTCAGTGCCATCTATCAGTACCCATAATCAGTGTCACCTATCAGTGCCGCCTATCAGTGCCGCCTATCCGTGACCCCTAATTAGTGCTGTCTATCAGTGCCGCCTATCCGTGCCACCTCATTAGTACTGCCTATCAGTGCCCTTTAGTGCTGCCTATCAGTGCCCATCAGTGCCGCCTATCAGTGCCCATCAGTGCTGCCTCATCAATGCACATCAGTGAAGGAGAAAAAATACCTGTTTGAAAAATTTTATAAAAGAAACAAATAAACTTTTTTTTTTTTTTCAAATTTTTTGCACTTTTTTTTATTTATAGCGCAAAAAGTAAAGCGCCCAGTGGCGATTAAATACCACCAAAAGAAAGCTCTATTTGTGAGAAAAAAATGATCAAAATTTCATATGGGTACAATGTTGCATGACCGCGCAATTGTCAATCAAAGTGCGGCAGCGCTGAAAGCTGAAAATTGGCCTGGTAAGGAAGGGGGTATAAGTGCCTGGTAGGCAAGTGGTTAATTGCACATAAAAAAAACAACCTGTTTTCGGGGTCCAACAAGCCCCATTTATCAGAGGAAGACACTAGAGGTTTTAGAGGATGAGTGCACCATACCTGTTTGGAAGTTAATTGCACATTAAAAAAAACCTGTTTTTTCGGGGTCCAACAAGCCCCATTTATCAGAGGAAGACACTAGAGGTTTAGAGGGATGTTAATTGCACATAAAAAAACAACCTGTTTTCAGGGGTTCAACAAACCCCATTTATCAGGGTTTATAGAATGATAGAGAATGGAAGGGAATTGAAGAAATTTGGTCCTGGACTACTGGCAGAGTGAACATGTACAGAAACACATGGGTGCCCAGAATAATAAAATAAGCCAATAATAATAAATTCCAGGTCACCTGTTTTCCTATTAACAATACATACCTCTTTAGTATGTATTGATACTATTACATCTCTACTATATCCAGTGAAATGTATTATCAGATAGTAATGTATGAGTATACTATGGTACTCATATGCAGAGTCCTCTGTACAGATTGTAACAGTAACAAGCACAGAGATAGTGAACATGCTAAAATGACTAGGTGGATTAGTAGTTACTGTCAGCAGATAATACCTAGTCCGGCAAGCAGCCTACTAATACTTATCCCCGAGGTATACAAACGTGTCATTATTGCTTTTGTAATACTATGTTTACAGAAATATATGCAACTTGAAAACAGCTTTATACTTTCTTTCGGCACAAACAGGTATTTCTTCAAAAGATAAGAACCAAAGCAGAGCTAAAGTCTAACAATTCACCATCCATTTTAAGCAATATTCATATATTTGATGGTTACACATTTTAGTAGCATAGCTATTAACAGGCAAGGAAAGCCTTTAATTATAGGGAAGTTCCTCCAGAGAGTATTTCTTGTGTTAAAGAGACCCTGTCAGCTTGCTCATTCGTGGCAAACAACTTTATACTTTTATACCTTTATTATGCCTCAATGCCACTCCTTCCCCACAAAAACTAGCCATAGTTACGCCACCTGACAATTTTTTATATTTACTAAAATAATTGCACTTCCATGTTCTGTATACTATGGGAGACCAGATATAGTGAATGCAGGGTCCTGGGTTCAGTAACACTTTAATGGATTCTCTACATTACAGTAAAAATCCTTCTGCAGGCAGCTCCCCTCCCCCCAGCCCCTCTTATACTTACCTGAGCCCAATTTCAATCCAACACCATGCACAAGAGTAAAGGCTCTCTCGGCTCTCTCCCTCCTCATTGGCTCAGACACGGCAAGGGAAGCCATTGGCTCTCGCTGCTGTCAATCACATGTATGTAAACAATACAGATCTCTCCCCTGTCAGCTCATGCACAAGAGCAAAGGCTCTCTCGGCTCTCTCCCTCCTCATTGGCTCAGACACAGCAAGGGAAGCCATTGGCTCTCGCTGCTGTCAATCAGACGTATGTAAACAATACAGATCTCTCCCCTGTCAGCTCATGCACAAGAGCAAAGGCTCTCTCAGCTCTCTCCCTCCTCATTGGCTCAGAAACATCAAGGGAAGCCATTGGCTCTCACTGCTGTCAATCAGACGTATGTAAACAATACAGATCTCTCCCCTGTCAGCTCATGCACAAGAGCAAAGGCTCTCTCGGCTCTCTCCCTCCTCATTGGCTCAGACACAGCAAGGGAAGCTAGTATTTGGTTCTCGCTGCTGTCAATAACATGTATGTAAAAAATACAGATCTCTCCCCTGCCAGCTCCTGCGCATTGATTTATATTGCTTCGCAGAGCAGAGCAATATAAAGCAATGTGCTGACACAGTTAGCCCTCATGCACACTGGACGTTTTTACAGCGCTGCTGTTTTTGGCTTTTGACGTTTTTTTCTACAGCTAGTAAACCCCCCAGCATGTTATCCTATGTGTCCATGCATACATAGACTGTGATCAATGTTTTTTGGCTGGGTCATTTTTTGGCTGGAAAAAAAACCCCCCAGGACTAGTGGGTTTCTAGAGGAGTTTTTTAGCTGTAAAAAACACTCTAACGCTGAAAAACACAGCAAAACGCGTTTTTTTTTTTACCAAAATATTTTTTTTTAGTAAAAAAAACCAGCTAAAGAACATTTAAAAAATGCAAATGCGTAAAAACGTGGGAAAAAGCTACTAAACGCAGCAAAACGGTGCTAAACACTAATGCAAAAAAGCTGAAAAACTCGCGTTTTTAACGTGACTTTACACAGCTAACATTACCAGTGTTATCAAAACATCCAGTGTGCATGAGGGCTAAAGAACACACACAGTAAAACAGCACACAGTTAACCCTTTGATCACCCCACATGTTGACCTGGATGGACTTTTGTCTTCTTTCAGCCAGACTAATGCAGGCCATAGTTGGGTTGAAAATCGGCCGATTTTTTGGCCGAAAATAAAATCGGCCGATTTTCGGATCGTTAGTGGGTTAATTGTTTGGCCGTTTTTCGGTATTTTGGCAGATTTTTTTTATCAGTAAAGTTGGAAAAAGATCGGACGATTTTCGCGGCAATTATGGGCAAATCGGCCGATCTTTTTACCGATAAAAAATCTGCGCATGAGCAGTGACCTGCAAGAGGAAGACAAAAAAAGAAGAAAAAAAAGAAGACGAAGAGGATGAAGATGAAGAGGAAGAGGATGAAGAAGAAGAAGAGGAAGAAGAGGATGAAGAAGAGGCAGAAGAGGATGAAGAAGAAGAAGATGAGGATGAAGAAGAAGAAGAGGATGAAGAAGAAGAAGAAGAAGAAGAGGAAGAAGAAGAGGATGAAGAAGAAGAAGAGGATGAAGAAGAAGAAGAAGAAGAAGAAGAGGATGAAGAAGAGGATGATGAAGAAGAAGAGGATGAAGAAGAAGAAGAGGAAGAAGAGGATGAAGAAGAGGATGAAGAAGCAGAAGAGGATGAAGAAGAAGAGGAAGAAGAAGAGGATGAAGAAGAGGAAGAAGAAGAGGATGAAGAGGATGAGGAAGAAGAAGAGGAAGAAGAAGAGGATGAAGAAGATGAAGAAGTAGAAGAGGATGAAGAAGATGAAGAAGAAGAGGAAGAAGAAGAAGAGGATGAAGAAGAATTCCAGTCCGGCAAAAAGTGTCCCTGCAGAGAGCTCCGCTATTTCTTTGACAGTGCTTTGACATTTATAGCGATTGCAACATTGTATCTATTTGTTTCCGAATAAGAACATCTGTATCTGAAATGGATACAAATAGATACATTGTTGCAGCCGCTATAAATGTCAAAGCACTGTCAAAGAAATAGTGGAGCTCTCTGCAGGGACACTTTTTTCCGGCTGTAGACGGGATGAATATCGGCCGATTTTTTTTACCATTCCTGGTAACGTCGGCCACTTGAACAACCGATTTTTCGTTTTTTTAAAGAAAAATTGGCTGGTTTTCTCCCTATCTATGGCCTGCATAACTATGTAACTATGATAACCCCTTTCTGGCCAGTGTCATTAGTACAGTCTCAGTGCTTATTCTTAGCATTGAGCACTGTATTATTTTCACTGGGGATGTCAGTGATAATTAGTCAATTCCCCTCCAGTGTCAGAATGTCAACACATACACGGAGCTAGTTTCTCCACAGGCAAGGATCACTGATTCTCTCAGCCAACACCTGTCTGAATGAGCCTAAAAAACAGGGCTCAGCCCATTGAGCTTCACCTTTAACCATTTGCCCTCCAGAGGATTTATTCCCCCCTCCCCCTTCCTGACCAGGCCATTTTTTGTGATATGGCGCTGCGTTATTTATTTAAACAAAAAAAGGCCAACAAGTTTGAGAAAAAAACAATATTTTTGACTTTTTGCTATTAAACATGTCCAGTAAAAAACCAAAACAAAAAAAACCAAAAAAAACTATAGTGTTTACAAATGGAGGTATAGCTGCTGGAATTTATTTTTTCAGGGCATTCTGAACTGATTTGGTGTCACTGACATCCCCAGTGACACCAATACAGTGATCAGTGCTAATAAAAAGCACTGACACTGTACTAATGGACACTGGGCAGGAAGGGGTTAACATGTGGGGCGATCAAAGGGTTAACTGTGTGCTGTTTCATTATAGGGGCTACGTGTGTGTTTCACTGTAAGCACACTGCTTGTATGGCTCTGCTATGCAGAGCCATACAAAGCAGTGTGCAGTCGCTGATAGGGGAGAGATCTGTGTTGTTTATACATAGGTGTCTCCCCCGTTGGAGATACTCAGCGATCACTGGTTTCCAGAGATTAATCACCGGCTGGGACCCAGAGATGGACAGCTGAGGCAGCGAATGACGGCATTGGCAGGGTGCACGCGCTCCCCTTACCTGGAACTGCAAAATCACATATATATATATATATATATATATATATATACACGTGATTTTGCTCAGCCGTGCCGCCCTGTAGCAGTATTTTTGCTATAGGGCGGCGCAGAACCGGTTAAAATATCACATTTAAAATATATACTGTCTTTTTTTCCTTTTTTGCATGCAACAGTTCATTTTAACAGGAGGCACTCTTTAAGCCCCTAATATTTTTTATTTTTCTAATTGAACAAACGTGTTTCTCAAGGTGGTTGTACAAAAAAATTTCTGGTTACTATGTGAGTGAATACATTTTTACATAAAAAGCTTCTTCTGGATAGTAGATTTACATACAACAGAATGTGTACAAATAAAACTTCAGCGCAACAAATAACTCAAATTCCTGTGTATACCAGTGCTGCTGACACTTACATGCTTTTCCACACACAAAAGATATGTCATAAAACAGAGCCATGTATATATCTCTATAACCTCATATATGATTTAGAGCATCCAAACTGCAATAAAGAGCACCTGTTTGGGAACAAATTATAAACGCACAGATCAAGCGCACATTATGGACTTTTAAGTTGTATTTAGTGTATTCACTATTGTTCCATAATCACATGGTTTGGATGCTTTAATTCATATATGAAGTTATAGAGATATATGCGTGGCACTATTTTATGACATTACATACAACAGAGCCTATACATCTATTAACATAGGAGCTTTGTCTTAATGAGGAAGGAACTGTATGTTTATTGTAATAAAAGAGTTACAGCACAATTTTTAAAACTAAAGGTACCTACGACTGAGATCTAGACTAGGCTTCTGCCTGCACTTGAATCTCCACCCATGTCAGGTTGTTTAATATTGTCCCAAGGCAAAATGCTCCCAGGTGGACTCTGCAACGTGTATTCACAGGCACTCGTTCCATTTCCTACATGCCAAATGCCACTTAGCTGCAAATAGAATGCAGAGCACTAACTGATGGCTTCATACTATAAATATTACACCACTACATTACTGTCCTTTTCAATCTGCATTACCTCACTTTGAATATTGTAAATGTTTTCACAAATTGACTACTACATGTCCAGGATATGATAGATAACTAAAAAAAAATGCACTGCCATGGAAGTCATTTAACAGCAAGAATGGGAGAAGAGAAAGATCTTTTTTGGTCTTCTGTTTAGTACACCAACATAAATACAGTAAGTGGATAAAGAAAAATATCAGTTTTATGTTTAAAATTATATTAATAAGTCAGATTGAAAAAAACAATTCATTCAGAACATATGTCAGTGCACACACAGGTACAGTACCTTATGTGACCCCTTGTGCACAACCGCCTTCTCTAATGCATCTATCAATGGGCAGCTGTATGTGGCAGGAGCAGGTCCTAAAGATCTCATTATGCAGAATCTGCATGCTGTATGGCCCCCTGTGCATGAAGCCTTAGACTACATGCACACAAATGTAAATACAAGCACATTGTCATACCCAGGGCCAGTGCTTCCACTAGGCAAACTAGGCGGCTGCCTAGGGCGCACTGCCACCTAGGGGTGCCGGCTCCACTAGGCAAACTAGGCCAGCTCTCTCTCGTGTGAAACGCCACCACATCATGAATGATCATCCAGTTTAGGTGTCTGTGGCCAGTTTAGCAGCTGAGCTGCCTTTCCTTCCAGTGTTCCTCTCGGATTCAGTCCCTTACTGCAAACCGGCTGGCGGCTGCTGATGATCACTGTGGAGTTCCAACCCTTCTCTTCCCATTCATCAGCAGAGGCGGAGCTGTGCCTGCAGAGGAAGGTAATGTCTGACTCTAATGTCTTGTGTCTATGTGAGTGTGACGCAGCCGGCTGGCCATCCATCACATGTGCAATGCGTCGGTGAGTGGTGACATCATCATGATCCCAAAGCCTGCTCTTTCAGAGCCTGCTGGGCCTGCTGATCTGTGTCAGTGTTGGTGGTAGTGTGTTGTGTCGGCTCTGTCACTGTGTGGGATCGCTCAGTTCAGGTGTTCTCTGTGTGTTGGCTGGGCTGCATGCTGTCACAGCATTTTATCTCCCCCCATTGCCAGGGGAATTCCAGCCTGGGATCTGTCAGAGTGTGGATCCATCATCCTCCACTCACTGAAACTGTCACCCTGCCACTGCCAGCCACAGATACAGTCCATCTGTGACACTGATTTTGTCTTTAATATTGGTGCTGGTGGCATTTTATGGCACTTATTTTTGCAAATTAAAAGAGATTTAGCAGTTTCATGTTTTGTTGGTTTATTATCTTCTACTGTTTTTAAAATTTTGTATTTATTTATTTATTTTGGTTGGGGGGGGGGGGGCACAAGTAGCTGGTCTTGTCTAGGGCGCAAAATAGTCTAGCATCAGCCCTGGCCATACCGCATAAAATACACCCATATTTACACAAAGCTTTGGAGCCCCAGCTGGGGCGTATTTCTGTTTTGTATTACAAAATACCCTGGGCATCTGTAATCACGCAAATGTTTTTAGAAAATTACGTCAGTTGCAAAAAATGCATTTCAGCTAGGTCTCCCAAGCACAGTAAATGCTGGTGTATTTTATGCTGTTCGGCAATACGCCTGTATTAACATCTGTGTGCATATAGCCTAAGGCTACATTCACACCGGTGATTAAGGCCTGTGCAAATCGTAGCAGCAATTCCTTCTGCTAGGTGTGACCGCCAGCCCCATTAGGGCCCACCTGCAGGCAGGATCTTGGAAGGAGGATCTCTTAGCCGGAACCGCCCCTGAGAGAGGACAACCTGGGAAGTAGGGAAGGAGCCAGCCAGAAAGCTGCCACCAACCTATATGCTTACAGGAGAGGACTGAGTGAGTAATCCTGCACCCCCTGGCTGGATGAGGGGAGAGGGAAGTCAGGTGGCAAACCCAACTAGCTCCTTGTCTGGGGCTGCTCTACTACAGTGGTAGTTTCCGGGTTCCCTTACTCAGGGATTCCCTCAGTAAACTGAGTAAAGAAGAGGATTCATCTGGGGTCTGGGGAGGTACACCAGAAGGGCTGTAGAGCTCTTCAAGGAGAGACTGTCTATAGACTTATACATAGTTTATAAGGAGATTTGTCCTCATGTTCACAGTTCCTTGGGCATCCCATGGACTGTTTACTCTCTCCAGTGTGCAAGTGTGGAAGAAAATGCGTGTTGCCTGGTTGTGCAGGACTACAGGAGGACCCAAAGCTCAGCAACTCCTAAGGGAGTGGTACTACAGTAATTAAAAGTGGTTCTAAAGGCAAGACTTTTTTCGCCTTAATGCAAAACTGTCCCAGTAGTTGTATGCCCCCTCCCATATACTTATGAATCTTAATTCAGCGCTGTACCATCTGCAAATGTGCTGGTCTCTATTTCCCTCCTCACAGGACACAGAGGTAGCAAAGGGAACCATTGGCTGTCAATCATGTAAGGAAAGACTGGGGGGCCCCCCTTAAACACTTACCTGAGCCCAGTGTCAAATTATAATAACCACATATGTAATATAAAACACACATACATATATATATATATATATATATATATATATATATATATATATATGAGAATATTCAATAAAGTGACCAGTGATAAGGTGCTAATATATCAACAAAATAAAGTAACTTAGTGGCAACATACTGTATATCTCTGTCACTGTGTAGTGACCAATAGTGCTTAATAAAGTGCTGGAATAGTAATATCAATGTCCAAAGATGGGTGCATGGAAGATCTGATAATGATCTTCAATTGCTAGTGATCTATCCGATATTACGGTGATGTGTCCAACAGTGTAAAGATTGCGCACTCACCAGATACGCAATCAAATAGCGCATTTAGAGATAACATTCTCAGTAGATCAACTGAAGGCCCCTTTAAAGGCGAGTATGGTCTGGTCTGATATTCCCTCACTGCTTTCTCTGCTGTCAGCAATGGCTCTGCCGCTCCCCTGATGCAGCTCTGTGGGTTGTTAAAAGCTCACAGGGAGCCCAAAAAGAGGCCAAAAGTGTGATACTGTTTTAAGAGGTGTATGTTTATTCCAAACAAATGCAGTTGTATAGGGAACAGAACAGAAATCACTGACCATGTACAGAGATCCAAGATGGCCACCGGGACCCATGTGGTTTCGGCGGCGTGACGTCACAATGCTGTA